CCCCCCCCCCCCCCCTCCAATATAAACTACATTTTTAAGCAATATACTAGAAAGTAGAACTACAAAAAGCATAGTTCGCCAAATGATAGTTTGTTTTACACCTGGATGAAGTGAAACACCAAAATGGATGTTGGTACCTCACTTATTTTTCAAGTTTCATGCTCACAGCATACACAGATTGGCTGAGGGTATTCCCAGTTCCCCCTCTTTCCTTCCATGGCGGGGGACAAAAATAAATCTTATGGACATATTAACAAGAGTCACATAGATTTTTTTTAGGCCCTTTATGCTTCCTAGTTGTTATTATTGTTATGCAGAAGATCAACAGCCTAAAAATAATGAGATGTGACCAAATGTACCTGACAAATTGTCTAAGTTAAGAAAGATTAGGTCTGTTTGGAGAGCACCAACACCAAAGGTTAAAGTCTAACTAGAAAGTTCTTGCAAAAACTTTGACGGGGACTGTCAGGCTGCTGCCAATTGAAATTGTTGATTTGACATTATGTGGTAAAGGCTAAATTTCAGTGCTATTTGTGAAATGTGGACACCCCTCAATATGTTTGTTTTATTGTATGTTAAGCAATAGTTTGATCTTTAGTCTGTACTTAAACTAGGTGATATCCAAAACCTCAAGGTTACATTTTGTATGTAGTGGAATTTTTCACCACCAGAGGGCAGAACTTGTGGTGAGTTGTTTGTGAGTGCCTATAAAGAGAAGAAGAAAAACTAACTTTTTTTTTTTGGTTGGTGTGAAAGCTATGTGCCATGTGGTGAGGCAATAAAACCACCTAAAAATCACCAGACGTCCTCCTTCATCTTAGAAAGTACAACAATTACTGTGTTGGGGTTTGCTCTCAGGTTCCAGTATACCAAATTACAGCTGAATAGCTCTAAAAATGGCTGAGTTATCATATTTTTTACTTTTTAGCTAAGGTGGCCATCTTGGATTTTTTAAAATTTGTATTCAGTATGTGATAGGTCTTGTTCTCAGCTACCACAACCAATGTTCAGCTGAATCACTCAAAAAAATGCCCAAGATATGGTGTTTTTCTCTTTTAGCTAAAGCGGCCATCTTGGATTTTTGATTTGGATTCAGTGTGTGATAGAGAACATTCTCAGCTGTAACCTCACCAAATTTCAGCTCTGTATGTGTAAAAATGGCTGAGTTAAAAACCATTTAAATGTAGCATTGGTGGCCATCTTGGATTTTTGATTTTGATACAACACTTAATAGGAAACATTTTCAGGTATCACCACACCAAGTTTCAGCTCAATATCACTAAAATTGACCGGTTTATCCTTCTTTGCTTAGGCGACCATCTTGGATTTTTGATTTTCAGTCAGAGTCTATTAGGGATCATTCTCAGCTACCAATACGCCAATTTTCAGTTCATTATCTTTAAAAATGGCTGAGTTATAATATTTTTTCTCTTTTAGCTAAGGCAGCCATCTTGGATATTTGATTTTCATTAGGAATATACAGGTCCTTCTAAAAAAAATAGCATATTATGATAAAGGTCATTATTTTCCATAATGTAATGATAAAAATGAAACTTTCATATATTTCAGATTCATTGCACACCAACTGAAATATTTCAGGTCTTTAATTGTTTTAATACTGATGATTATGGCATACAGCTCATGAAAACCCAAAATGCCTGTCCCAAAAAATTAGCATATTTCATCCCACCAATGAAAGACAAGTGTTTTTAATACAAAAAACGCCAACCTTCAAATAATCATGTTCAGTTATGCACTCAATACTTGGTCGGGAATCCTTTTGCATGAATGACTGCTTCAATGCGGCGTGGCATGGAGGCAATCAGCCTGTGGCACTGCTGAGGCGTTATGGAGGCCCAGGATGCTTCGATAGCGGCCTTAAGCTCATCCAGAGTGTTGGGTCTTGCGTCTCTCAACTTTCTCTTCACAATATCTCACAGGTTCTCTATGGGGTTCAGGTCAGGAGAGTTGGCAGGCCAATTGAGCACAGTAATACCATGGTCAGTAAACCATTTACCAGTGGTTTTGGCACTGTGAGCAGGTGCCAGGTCGTGCTGAAAAATGAAATCTTCATCTCCATAAAGCTTTTCAGCAGATGGAAGCATGAAGTGCTCCAAAATCTCCTGATAGCTAGCTGCATTGACCCTGCCCTTGATAAAACACAGTGGACCAACACCAGCAGCGGACATGGCACCCCAGACCATCACTGACTGTGGGTGCTTCACACTGGACTTCTGGCATCTTGGCATTAGTCTTCCTCCAGACTCTGGCACCTTGATTTCCGAATGACATGCAAAATCTGCTTTCATCCGAAAAAAGTACTTTGGACCACTGAGCAACAGTCCAGTGCTGCTTTTCTGTAGCCCAGGTCAGGCGCTTCTGCCGCCGTTTCTGGTTCAAAAGTGGCTTGACCTGGGGAATGCGGCACCTGTAGCCCATTTCCTGCACATGCCTGTGCACAGTGGCTCTGGATGTTTCTACTCCAGACTCAGTCCACTGCTTCCGCAGGTCCCCCAAGGTCTGGAATTGGCCCTTCTCCACAATCCTCCTCAGGGTTCGGTCACCTCTTCTCGTTGTGCAGCGTTTTCTGCCACACTTTTCCCTTCCCACAGACTTCCCACTGAGGTGCCTTGATACAGCACTCTGGGAACAGCCTATTCGTTCAGCAATTTCTTTCTGTGTCTTACCCTCTTGCTTGAGGGTGTCAATGATGGCCTTCTGGACAGCAGTCAGGTCGGCAGTCTTACCCATGATTGTGGTTTTGAGTAATGAACAAGGCTGGGAGTTTTTAAAAGCCTCAGGAATCTTTTGCAGGTGTTTAGAGTTACGTCGTTGATTCAGATGGTTAGGTTAATAGCTTGTTTAGAGAACCTTTTCATGATATGCTAATTTTTTGGGACAGGCATTTTGGGTTTTCATGAGCTGTATGCCATAATCATCAGTATTAAAACAATTAAAGACCTGAAATATTTCAGTTGGTGTGCAATGAATCTGAAATATATGAAAGTTTCATTTTTATCATTACATTATGGAAAATAATGACCTTTATCACAATATGCTAACTTTTTGAGAAGGACCTGTATTACAACTCGCTCTCAGCTACAACCATACTAAATTTCAGCTCAATATGTCAAAGGATGACCCAGTTACAGTTAATTTTGTGTTTGCTGAGGTAGCTGTAGCAGCCATCTTGAATCAAATTGGCTCCAAACATTAATCAGTTCTCAACATTTATATGATGATTACTTTCTGTGAGTTTCAAACAAATCCAACAGTGAGTTTCTGTTTTCTTCAGGGACATCTACACTCGAGTCATGTGACTTGACAGCAGCAGTTTGTGTGAGGAGTGTTCTTATTCATTTCCTATGGGGAAATATGGCGTCTTTGTTAGCAAAATACATTGCCATGGTAACTCCGATTGCCAATAAAAATAATAGCTCCCTTCTCGAGATCGAGTTGGTCATTTTGTTATAACTTTTGTGGGGGTACACATTGCGGTTTGAGCCGTATTAACGGTGATAGAGAAACACATATCAAGTGTAGTATAATAAGTGGCCCGTCACCAACTAGTCCCTGGAGTTGGTAAATATGGCGTCTTTGTTAGCAAAATATGTCGCCATGATAACTCTGATTGCCAATAAAAGTAATAGCCCTAATCATTTTGATACAACTTTTGTGTGGGTCCATGTTGCAGTTCGGGCTGCATTAACAGATATACAAATCAAGACACTCTTACGAGGTGTAGAATAACAGGTGCCTGCCATGTGTTGCATGGAGGCAGTGCATTGATCTCCTATGCATTTCAGTGGCAGTCCCCAATTATGTAAAAGTCTATCTAAACTACTGTTGTTCCAGTTTCACTTTGAACAGGGATGAAATATTCAGAGCAAACAGAGACTTGAAATTGTCACAAAAAGAGCTCACTACCATGGGAAACAGTGAAATCCTCTTTTACAAATGACTCTTTTTTGCAGAGATGATAGATGAAACGATGGTCATAAAAATGTGTTTCTCAAACGGTAAGAGCCGAGGCCCCGGCACCACATCAGAACAGCCTGCCCACTGCATCAGTGCTCTCCTCTCTAGGTATATGGCTCTCATCGCTATGGCAACCAGTGCACAATGTATTCAGAGCCCAGAAACCAGCACCAGTGTAGGCTGACAAAAACAGGTTGCTTTTATATTACCTTTTTTTATTATTATATAACAACAGCAAGAGGATTGTTCAAGCTCTTTATTAAATTGTATCAGCTGAGGTTGCACAACATGTCAGCTGTCTCACTTGTGCTCATGCTAACAGTCATACATGCCACATATGGTGTCAGTAAGTAAAGGTGTCTATATGAAAACTCTAATTCTAGGGAGATTCACTCTGAATTAAGTTGAGCTTTACAGAAAATATGTGACCGACATATGATAAAAGTGAGAAGTTCAGCTTTTGTTATTAAAACTAGAAACAATCAACTTAAATGGTGCTTAAGATATAAAAACAATTGTGATGACAAGTAGGCCTTTCAGCATGTCTTATGTCTGTCATACTGACTGCAGCTCTGCACAAAGTGAGGGGTACCAACATCCTGTGCTTGTCTAATTAACACTCACATCCCACTCAGCCTTGGTGACTTGACCTGCTCCATCTGACTGCCATGACCACATATCCCTAATCTGCTTCTGATTCAAAAGACACTTCTTCAACCACTTCTGCTCTGTGCTTTGCTTAACTGTTTGACGCCAAATTCCAGATCGTAAATTGATGGATTACTGGTTTACAATTTTAAAATTTCAGTCAACAAAAAGAGGATTAAGTTTTTGTTATGTGCTTGATTAAATTCCAGGAGTTTACATAAATGAACCAAACACTTGCTGCTCTACAGTGATTTGCTTTATTGCATGTTTGATTGTTGTCAGACATTTATTTTTAATATGTAGCGTCCAAAATAACGAGTATACATTTCAAGTCCCTGACCTGCCTCTGAATGGAAACAGGAACGCTGTCCCACCTGTTCTTTGATCTCCTGAAGTTTGTTGCTTTGCTCCCGGATGTCGTGGAGGAGCTGCAGCGCCTTATCGTCCTCCTGTGTCACTTCCATACGTGCTTGTTCTAAACTGCGCTTAAGACTCTGAAACCGAGACAGGCACATTTGTTTGGTACACACAGGATGAAACAGCACCGAAACCATGAAACATGCAGCTGTAACGTTGTGAAGTTTTTTAATAAAGTATGAAGCAAATTCACTTTGTGGTCATTTTGATGTCTACTGAACTATCCAGTCATCAATTAACTGTTATCTGTATCCGCTTGTTCCTTTCTGGGTCACTGGTGCCCATGTTCAGCAGTCACTGTGTGAGAAGCGGGGTACACCCTGGACAGGTCTCCAGTCCATCAAAGGAACACATAGAGACAAACGAGACAAACAACCCTTCACTCTCTCACTCACACCATGAGACAATTTAGAGCATGTACAAGCGTGGGACGGGCGCGCAAGCATTCGTGAAGGTGACTGGGTGAAGTCGCCAGAGCTCCCGCGGTCGCCGTAAGGCCGGAGCAGGAGCCCTGCTGTGAGGGCCTTCAATGCTGCTTGCAGCTTTAATTTTTACTTGGAATGCTCCCTCTTTGACACCCCTGACCTAATCAGGATGATCCTGTGATAGAAGACAAATAATAAGTTGGTCTGACTTGATTTAAATTACAAACAGTATTAGCTGGAGGATGTGGGCGTGGCGGCGAGGCAGCGAGGCGAATTCAGAAGTGACGCAGTTGCAATACGTTTGGCTCTGAATTGAAAAGATTTGAGCCGAGGTACACAAAAATGACTATGATCAATCATTATCCACCCCTTGAACAAGAATCCATAAAAAGTGGCCAATAGCCTCCACAGCGCCCCCTACATTATTCCTACAGTTATATCTCAGTGATACATCATCCGATCTGCACCTGATTTATTGTGTGTCATCAGTGAGCATTTCTACACTATTGGTATTGTTTTTTAACATTGGACTCCGGTGCGCCCCCTAGATTATTCCAGCAGTTATATCTAGGAAATACATAATCCAATCTGCACCAGATTTTTTGTGCATAATCAGTGAGCACTTATATAGACATTGGTATGCTTCTATAACATTTGACTTGAGTGCGCCCCCTACATTAATCCAACAGTTATATTTCAGTGATACATCATCTGATCTGAGCCAAATTTTTTGGAGGGATCAGTGAGCACTTGTATACACATTGGTAATGTTCTTTAACATTTGACTCCAGTCCGCCCCCTAGATTATTCCAACAGTCATATCTCAGTAATACATCATCCGATCTGAGCCAAATTTTTTGTGCATCATCAGTGACTAGTTGCAGCACGGTGGCGCAACTGGTAGAGCTGCTGCCTCTCAGCGAGCAGTTCCTTGGTTCAAACCCCGGTCCAGGGGCCTTTCTGGGTGGAGTTTGCATGTTCTCTCCGTGCATGCGTGGGTTTTCTCCGGGTACTCCGGTTTCCTCCCACAGACCAAAAACATGCATGTTAGGCTGATTGGTAACTCTAAATTGTCCCTAGGTGTGAGTGAGAGAGTGAATGGTTGTTTGTCTCGTTTGGCTCTATGTGTCCCTGTGATGGACTTGCGACCTCTCCAGGGTGTACCCGGCCCCTCGCACAGTGATTGCTGGACATGGGCACCAGCGACCCCCGTGACCCAAAATGGAACAAGCGGGTAAAGATAATGGATGGATGGACAGTAAGTACTTCTAGACACATTTGTATTGTTGTTTAACTTTTGACTCCAGTGCACCCCCTAGATTATTCCAAAAATTATATCTCAGTGATACATCATCTTATCTGCACCTGATTTTTTTTGGCTTCATCAGTGAGCACTTCTAGACACATTGGCATTGTTGATTCATGACATCACTTAAGACCCACCCACTCAGAGAAGAAACTTGATTATTAGGTGACTCTTACAGCTTAGCCCTGTGTAAGATATGATTGAAACTGTAACGGTTGATTACCACATGACATGTTGAAAAGCATAAAGGAAGTGTTCGTCAAATATTCTAAACAAAACAGGAATTCACAATAACTCCTGTCTGGAAGGTCGGATTTCATGTATACTTGTAAGACCTGGAGCTGGACTAGTACAGACATGAACGGATGGTGATGTCAAAGATTCAGGAAATGTGCCTCGTGGTGAACATGTGCGGGATTGGCACGAGAGCATTCGCGATGGCGACTGGGTGGAGTGGCTGGAGCTCCCGTGGTCAAGGTATGGCCGAAGCGGTGCTTTGCTGCGAGGGCCTTCAATGCTGCTTGCCGCTTTAATTTTACTTCTTGACGAGAAGCGGCAGCTCTACTAACTGTGTCATTGTGCTGCTCTCTACTGAACAAGATTTCTTCTAATGTTTTCTCTCCCAGTGTTGCACATGTGCATTATGAATAATTATCATCATCTATGGTGTCTTCTTTGGAACTACAAATCAACTCACGCTGCATTCGGTGATGTAAGTTGCCAAGTCCTGCTCCAAGATGGTCCTCTGAGTCTCTGAGGCCTTCAACTCGATGTCTTTTTGCTGCAGCACTGACTCAAGGTCAGACATTTTGCTTTGGACCAATGATATCTCCTGCTCAACCTGGTAAAAAGGACACATAGTGGATAAAATTTTCTGACTGGAATAAATAATATATATCTAATAAATTTCTGGGCAAACACATAAATAAAACCAGCATTTCTTAAAGGAATTCATGCCAAAGCTAAACAAAGATCTTTGAGATCAGAGTTTGAATTTGAGATGTCACTCAGCTACGACACACCATCCAATGATTATTTTATTTTAAAAGGATCCAGTAGTTCATAAAATATTCAGAAAATTAGCTAGTGCTGTAAAATGCTGGTGAAGGCAACAGGATTTATTTATATTTTTAAAGGCGTTTCACTTCTGATGCACATTCTTCATTCAAGCTGAAAATTGTGGCATTCTAAGCTTTTAAACTTTTATGAGTTGCTTTTTTGGGGGTTATGCTGAACTCTGTGATACTCTGGTTTCCTTCCACAGACTAAAAGTATGCATGTTAGGCTGACTGGCACCTCTAAATTGTCCCTAGGTGTGAGTGAGAGAATGAATGGTTGTTTGTTTAATTTGTCTTTATGTGTCCCTGTGATGGACAGGAGACCTGTCCAGGGTGTCCCCTGCCTCTTGCATAGCGACTGCTGGATATTGGCACCAGTGACACTTGTGACACAAAAAGAAAGAAGCAGGTACGTTATAGTGATGGATGGATGGATGGATGGACGGACGGACGGACTCTTTGAGTTCAGCTTGCAAAAAGCAATTTGAACTCACATGCAAATCACTCTCCCTCCCCTTGCTCTTGGGTGGTTGGTAAGGTCCGTAGGAAGCAGCTCACTACAATTTAAGACTGAATTCTTTCAGCTTTGCCCTTCTTCAGAGGTTGCCACAGTAAAAAAACATGTGAAAGATTTGGCAATTGTTTTACACCAGATACCATTACTGACTAAATCTGGGTTCAAACCTACAACCTCAGGATCATAAGACCTCGGCATTGACCACCAAGTTACTGCAGCTCATTGAAGTTCCTAAGACTAATTGTATAAATGTGACTGAGCTGCAATAAGAAAACAAAGTTTTGATACCTCTTGTAGCTTCACTGCTTGAACACCTGAATAGATTTGGAATCTGTGGACTCATGGGAGCATGTGTGACATATGCCAGGAGTATTATTGGGAGATTTTCTGTTGTTGTACTAAATGACTTTGAAGGATTGAAAAGTTTAAAGAAATGTGTGGGGCAATCACGCACATTGACGGCCCATCAAAATGTGGCCAAATAAGAAAAGAGCTGTGCAACTGAAATCATCTTACAGGTAAAGGACTGTGTTTGTCTTACATGAAGTAGACATAGGAATTTCTGAGCATAAGACCAGTCTTGTCCCTAAAGACAGTGTATGTTACAAACTGTGACAAAAACAACTTAAGACTTACATAAATGGAAGGTATAAAAAAGATCTTAGCTAGTCTGGGAGAGGGGGTTCTTTTGGTCTTGTGCTGTTCAGAGTTTAACAGTATTTTATAATAAACCCTGGCTTTTTGCTGCCATCACAGATCTTAATGTTTTGTGGTTCCTTGTTTAAAGTTTAAAGTTCAATGTAGTAAGCTACCACATTTTGGTGCCCAACATGGGACTAGAACCCATGACCCTGAGATTAAGAGTCTCATACTCTACCAACTGAGCTAGCCGGCCTGTAAATAGCCATTACAACGTGAGGAGAACTGAAGACCAGAGGACATCAGGGTTCACAGTACAGTCACAAACAATCACAATACTTAGTGGACAATACAATACAAGCAACAGACAGTTATATACATAAAAACCCCAAGGGTCATGACTGGGATGGGAACAAGTGCTGTAAATAACCACAACACACATTCCACCAGCTTACTCCAAAGTGGAACATCTTAGCACCAACATAACTGGTTTGTTCCACTTTGGAGTAAGCTGTTGGGGGAAGAATCAATTTTGTGTTGTGTGTTTCCTTGACTGATGAAGTCTTCCGGATAGAAGGTGAAACGTTTCAGCACAAAAAAAGAAACTGTCCAGATGACCTGACTGAAAAATGTTGTATTTTCATAATAGTTTCATTTATATTGTGAACAAACATGCTCCTTTTCGTCAGTTCAGAATAAAGGGACGAGACAACCCCTGGTTTACTCCAGAGCTAGCTGACCTCCTGCACAGGAGAGATCATCTTTGGGCCACAGCGAGAAAATCTGACTCAGACACTGATTGGTTGAGTTTTTGGCAGATGAGGAATAAATACACAACTGCTGTCAAAGCAGCAAAACATAACTATTTCTTATCTCAGACCTCCAAAAATCTAAATGACCCTCACAGATTCTGGAAAACCATCAAATCTCTCTCAGGCACCCCCCAATCATCTGACCTCCCATCACAACTTCTCATTAACTTTGTTCCTGTGTCAAATAAGCTTGAGATCCTGAACTGTTTCAACAAACATTTTGTTGCTTCTAGTTCTTTATTTGACACAGTTACTAATGGAAAATCAGCCACTTCACTTAATAACCAAACTTCTACAAATCAAATCCCTCCTATAAGTCAATCCTCAGTTAATCATAGCTTCTCTTTTTCTCCGTTCTCAGTTAATGAGGTAAATAGACTGTTTAAAGGTCTTGATCCTAAAAAATCTGCAGGACCAGATGAACTTCCACCTTATTTCTTAAGGCTGGCTGCTCATATCATCGCAGTCTCTGTGTACCACATCTTTAATCTCTCCATAAGACAAAACTCCATTCCAGTTGCTTGGAAAACAGTTTTTGTTCTTCCTTTGCTGAAGGGAGGTGACCCCACCTCACTGAACAACTATCGACCAATCTCTAAACTCTGCATTTTAGCCAAGGTTCTAGAAAAACTGATAAACTCTCAAATCAAAAATTACCTGGACTCATTTACTCCACATCAATCTGGTTTCAGGAAACAACACAGCACAACCACTGCTTCACTGAAGGTTCTTAATGACGTTGTTGAAGCACTGGATGCTAAGGATTATTGTGCTGCACTTTTCTTAGACCTGTCTAAAGCTTTTGACACTGTGGATCATAACATCTTGTGTCATAAACTCTCAGAAATCGGTTTCTCAGAACACACTATTGGTTGGTTCTCTAACTATCTCTCAGACCAGAGGCAATGTGTTCAACATAATGGTACTTCCTCCAGTTATTTAACAGTCAACAATGGTGTACGACAAGGCTCAGTCTTAGGACCCACCCTCTTTACAATCTACATACATAATGTAGGTAAAAACATCCCTGATGCATCCTTACATTTCTATGCTGATGACACAGTTGTTTATTGTGTAGCTAAAACTGTTGCTAAGGCTTTCCAGCTTTTGCAATCTGCATTTGACATCATCCAGACACAGATTTGTTCCGCCTCAAACTTGTCCTAAATGCTGACAAAACCAAAGGGATGCTTTTTTCAAACAGGAAGTCGGTCCCAGCAGTTCTTCCTCAGATTTTATCCTCAAATGGTGTCCCCATTGAGTTTGTTGATTCCCATAAATATTTGGGTATCTTGGTCGACTCGCATCTCTCTTTTAAGCTCCACATGGAAAACCTAGTAAAAAATGAAAGTTAAACTGGGTTTCTTTTTCAGAAACAGATCCTGTCTAACTCTGAATGCTAGGAAATGCATTGTAACTGTGACTTTCCTTTCCTTCATTGATTATGGTGACATTTACATGAATGCTCCTACAAGAACCCTGCAGATGTTGGATGCTGTCTATCATGGTGCACTAAGATTCATAACTGGCTGTGATTATCGTACCCACCACTGCACCCTGTATTCACTGGTTAACTGGACATCATTAACTTCATGCAGACTCTCTCACTGGTACATTTTCATCTTTAAATCACTTCTTGGTCTGCTGCCTTCATACATCTCCTCCTACATGTCTCTGCATGAGTGCAGCTACAGCGTGCGCTCTCAGGACATTATTACCTGCAGTGTTCCCTCAATGAGGACTGAACTAGGCAAAAGGGCCTTCTCCTACTCCGCTCCTGTTTCCTGGAATATCTTGCAAAAAGATTTGAAGCTCTTGACCTTGACTTCTCTATGTGGCTTTAAGAATCTGTTGGACTTGTGGCAAGGACCAATGCAGACATGTTCTGTTTTTAGTTTTCTACATTTGCCTTATAATCTAGCTGTTTTTGCTACTTTTTTGCCATCTTATTTTAATTTGTAAAAAAAATAAAGTCCATATGCCTTTTTATAATTGTCTATTGTCGCTGTTGTCCATTGTTGTCATCTTTCTTTGTTGAAATCAGGTCTCTCTTGTAATTGAGTCCTCGAGGCTCAATGGGATTTACCTTTCTAAATAAAGACTGAATGAATTAAAAAACAGGTGAGGTTAGGCAGGAATTCCCATGAACTACAGTGTTTGCAGCTGGCATTGTGATCTATGGTGAGAGCAGAAAACAGGTGGAAGAAAACTTGGAAAGGTGGAAGTATGCACTTGAGAGAAGAGGAATGAAAGTCAGCCGTAGTAAGACAGCATACATGTGTAAATGTGAGGGAGGCCGGTGGAACAGTCAGACTACAAAGAGCAGAGGTCACAAAGGTGCAGGACTTCAAGTACTGAGGTCCACTGTCCAGGAAAATGGGGTGTGGTAAAGAGGTGAAAAAGAGAGTCCAGGAAGGATGGAGTGGATGGAGAAAAGCTTCTGGAGTGATTTGTGACAAAAAGGTGGTAGCAAAGGTCAAAGGAAAGGTTGAGGTTCTCCAAAGGAGGGACATGAATGGAAGATCATCAGAGGAACAGCACATGTTGAACATCTGGGAGATAAAGTTAGAGAGGCCAGACTGAGATGGTTTGGATATGTCCAGAGGAGGGACAGTGGGTATATTGGTAGAAGGATGTTAGAAATGCAGTTGCCAGGAAAAAGACAAAGAGGAGATATATGGATGCAGTTAGAAAGGACATGGATGTAGTTGGAGTGAGGACAGAGGATGCAGAGGACAGAGTGAGATGGAGAAGGATGACTCGCTGTGGAGACCCCTGAAGAAAGAACAGAGGAAAAAAGAAGAAAAAGAAGAAAATATATACTTATAAACAAAAAGCAAGCTAAATGTGCTTTAGGACCTTGTCTGCCACAGATGTATGCTGTTTTAATAATAATTATCACTTACTGCCATGGTGAGCAGTGTGCAAGTATCTGTATCATTTGGTGAAATATCTCATTATCCAATAGCTGGATTTCTTTCAATTCAATTCAATTCAGTTCAATTCAATTCAATTCATTTTATATATATAGCACCATATCACAACGAAGTTGTCTCAGGGCACTTTACAGGAACATTCACATACATAAAAGCCAATTAGTAAAGTTCTCTATCTAAGGAATCCAGCAGACACGTTGAATCTTGGCTTCGTCACAGTCTCCCATCCTGAGCAAGCACAGTGGCAACAGTGGAAAGGAAAAACTCCCTTTTTAAAGGAAGAAACCTCCAGCAGAACCAGGCTCTGGACGAGCGGCCATCTGCTTTGACCGGCTGGTTTGAGAGGACAGGAAGGAGAGACAGACGAACACAGAATGGTCGGTCCAGGTATAGGTCCAGGTATAGGTATATTTCTTTGAAACTTTCAGAAAGTAATCAATGGATGTACATCTACAGCTGATTAACTTTTAGTGTTAATCTAATTCAAGATGGCTTCCACATCGAATAAACATCCATCCATTCATTATCTTTTTAACCTGCTTCTTCCTTTTTGGGTCACGGGGGTCACCGGTGCCCATATCCAGCTATCACTGTGCGAAAGGTGGGGGACAACCTTGACAGGTTTCCAGTCCATCACAGGAACACATGGTGACAAATAAGACAAACAATCATTCACACTTTCTGTACTCTCGGTGAAGGCAAACGCGTCCTCCTCTGCTCCGACCCCCCGCTTCTCTGCTTTGCTCTCTTGTCTTGTGAACCCTTTATAGATCTTCTTTTTTTTTGTATACCTTCCTAATATGATGGATTTGATCTGCTTGTCTCTCAATGAAAACAATCAACTTCTCCCATTAGGAAGTCAGGGTGAATGGAGGTCCCTCTTACCTCGAGGGAAACAAAAAAATTGAATTTATGATGACAACTGGATTCTGCTGTTTGGGTTGGTGAAATCTGGATTGTCTACAAATGTGTGTGGAAGGTGTTGAAGCTTGGCAGCACTCAAACTGAATTATGTGGAGCTGTGTCAGAGCTGAAGCAGGCTGATATCAGGACTGTGAACTTTCTGGCAGTACCCATGTACGGTTGGGAATAATCTTGGAGAAGCTGTAAACTCGACTTTCGGAGTAAAAAATCAATTTGGCTGTTTGGAGTCACTATCAGAGAATGTTCTAGTGAGACTTTAAAAGGCAAAAACAGCAATTTACAAGTTCTGCCTGACCCAAACTGTGGATATGGACCTGGCCTTGAAGGCGGACTATCTTGATTCCTTCTGGGATGTTATGAAAACAAAGATGCTTTGTCTGTCTCCTCGCCCCTCCCTTCCCCAAGGCCGTGGACATGTGACAGAACCTCAACCAAGCTGGATGATAACAAACACCTCTTATCTGGACAATGGCTGAGGGGTGCCCTGGACTATGCTACGACCGTCCCTTAAAACTCAATGCCTCCATCGGCCTTGTATATATTATGTCTATTTATGTTGCTTTGCTGTGGTAGATTTTTTTGATCCCTCAAACCATGCCCTGTCTAGGACATGGTGTGAGAGGTCTTTTTTTATATACCTTCTTTCTTCATGTTTTCTTCCCCTTTTCTCATCTAAGCCTAAACGTATTCTGAAAAGGGTAAGATGCCACACTCTTAAAGAGAAGCAGCTACGTGCACTCCGCCCATCTTTCGGTCGACTGTACAGTCATACTCTCGTTGTATCTTGGTACAATGATAATAAAGATTATTCTGATTCTGATTCTGACACCTAGGGACAATTTTGAATTACCAATCAGCCTAACATGCATATTTTTGGTTTGTGGGAGGAAACTGGAGAAAGCCAATGTATGCACAAAGAGAACATGCAAACTCCACCCAAAAAGGCCCTCGGCCAGTATTTGATCCGGTGACCATCTAGTTTAGAGGTGGCAGCTCTACCAACTGTGCCACCGTACTGCCCAAAAATCAACTTTAGAAATAAAAATATATCAAGCTAAACTCAGTAAATATTTTAAAAATCAAGCTTACATTTAAAGTAGTAGTAGCTGAGAGTCATCCACTACACATGCTCTGTGTGCTAAAGAATCGTAAGAGATCTTTGTTTAAAACCAAGGCATTCAAGATGACAGGAAATATGCTTTTCTTACAACAATGCAACTTTCATTATCTTAATACTTTAACAAATTCTTCAAAATTCTGCAAAAATTTTCTTGTAGCACATTCATTTCCTCATAAGAAGCTTTTGTCTTAAGTTTAAAAATTAAATCATAAAATTACCACACAGACAGTTTATAAATAACTCTTAGACAAAGATAAAAAAATGCTCATATAAAGATCCAAAGGGTCAAACTGGCAAATAGTTGATTTAGCCCCTCGTTGTCAGAGGAGTAATACCTGTGACATTTGTCCGACGATTCTCAACTCTTCTGTTTTGAAAGTGATAAGATTTATCCAAAAAGATGCTCTTCTCTTGTGAGTTAATGGATGTAATCTCCAGTCTGTAAGGCTAGGAAAGAGAAAAGAAATGCTCATAAAGGAGAAAAACACGACAATGAACAGTCTCTGCAATGCCTCTCATCACAACTGAAGAGCTGACTCAGTGCTCTTGAGTAAACCACTTACTCCTATTTTTGGACATTTTATGTAAAACATTTGCTGATTTTAAATTGAAGCAAAGCAACGAACACATGGCATTAGCTTTAACAGCACAAAGAGCAAACAATTTAAAGAATTTTACATGAAAATCTTCTTTTGACATAATTTCAGAACATTAGGTTTCAGAAAAAATTAAATTTTACATGATCATATAGATGGCAGCACGGTGGCGCAACTGGTAGAGCTGCTGCCTCTCAGCGAGCAGGTCCCTGGTTCAAACCCCGGTCCAGGGGCCTTTCTGGGTGGAGTTTGCATGTTCTCTCCGTGCATGTGTGGGTTTTCTCCGGGTACTCCGGTTTCCTCCCACAGTCCAAAAACATGCATATTAGACTGATTGGTGACTTTAAATTGTCCCTAGGTGTGAGTGAGAGAGTGAATGGTTGTTTGTCTCGTTTGTCTCTGTGTGGCCCTGTGATGGACTTGCGACCTGTCCAGGGTGTACCCCGCCTCTCGCACAGTGACTGCTGGACATGGGCACCAGCGACCCCCGTGACCCAAAATGGAATAAACGGGTAAAGATAATGGATGATTGGATGGATGATCATATAGATCATATCATGCCACGTGGTGGCCATTTTAAAATTTAGATGACAAAAATGCCTACATTTTGATATATGTGTATCTTAAAAGATGTGGTGGTAGGAAGAGTTTGATGGAATACATACTATTTGTTCAGAAACCTCTTCTCTCTAGGTCATGTGACCTCACTGTGACAGTTAGAGCCTGTGAAGAGTTCTGTCAGTGTTTTCTATGAGAAAAATTGTGTTTTTGTTTGCAAATTATGTTGCAATGGTAACTCAAAATGCCAGTAAAAGTAATAGCACACGTCACGGTGCCAAGCCGGGGGCAACTGTGGTTGAGTGGTTAGAGCAGTCATCCTCCAATACAAGAGTTGGGGGTTGGAATTCACCAGCAGTCACATGCCGAAGTATCAATTCAATTCAATTCAGTTTATTTATATAGCGCCAAATCACAACAAAGTTGTCTCAGGGCACTTTACAGAAACATTCACATACGTAAAAGCCAATTAGTAAAGTTCTCTATCTAAGGAGGCCAGCAGGCGAGTTTAATCTTGGTCTCATTGCAGTTTCCCATCCTGAGCAAGCACAGTGGAAACGGTGGAAAAGAAAAACTTCCTGGGCAAGACACTGAACCCCTCATTGCCTCTGATGTGTGTCCCATCGGTGTATGAATGTGATCTCAAAGCACTGATTAGTCTCTTTAAAATGATTTCTTCAATTAGCTTTGTAGAGATCTAGTAGAGTGCTGTATGAATGGGTAAATGAGGACAGATTGTAGTGTAAAGCGCTTTGAGTATCTTGATAAGATAGAAAGGCGCTATATAAGTACAGTCCATTTACCATTTACCATTTACCATTTCTATGTAAAATTTGAGGAGGTACACATTGCGGTTCAGGTCGCATTAAAGTTGATAGAAGAGCAAGACCCTTTTCAAGTGGATAACAATAGGTGGCTGCCATTCTAGGTAGTCTCCAACAATGAACATAAGGTGTATTGTGCACAGACTAGATGTTTAACAATGAAAGAATCAAGGTCTATACTGTGCTTTCAAACGTGAGTATTTTCTATCTCAGTAGATTCTATGAATAGCCTCCTCGTGTTCACACCGCAGCTTCTTTTACCACCACTGGATATATTTGGCAGCTTTTGTGATCAAGTAGCAGGCAGAAGAATGAACGACAGAGAGAAGGTCTATTTAAAGCACAGGCTCCCCTCCCACGCCTAATTACAGTTACATGCTCAGCTCAGGCTTAGCTACATGATTTTACTGTGGCAATCCTGATTCACAATAAAATGTTAGTTTTTCTGCAATACACTTTTTGCACTGTGCTCTGATGGCGATGATGCTCAGTTCCTTCCAGGAGCCAGAAGATTATCACATGCAGTAAGAGATGGTGATGTTTACTAACGTTTGTCCAAAAATGTGACTAATGAGATGTGTATGCTTTTAGGGCACCAGGAGTTGAGATGTTCAGCAGCACAGCATGCTGAGCAGCATGTGCTCAGGCTGCATAACAATGTTGCCTGGAGTCCACTTTCATTGGCAGGACACCACAGAGGAGCAGGAGGCTTGTGATAAGTGACAAAGCATGAGCGAAGCCTTAGCCAAGGTGAGCTTTCTTGTGCTCCTGATCTTCAGTCAGAACAGGACATCACAGGCTCAAGTTCCTGCTGTCTAGACTAAATGTTAAAGTTTCCACTTCTGTTTGTTGGTGGCTATAGGTAATCATCCCATGAAAAGCAGGTGACCATGTAACTGCTTATGTTTCAGTGTGTCTGTGCTTGAACTCTTAGAAAATAATCATTGGATGGACATCTACAATGAATTCACTTTTCCAGTCAGTGTGATTCAAGATGGCTGCTTCAGTTATTTAACCTTAGCCAACACAAAAATGTCTCCATCCAGTCAATTTTACACATCATCATTATAAATCCCAACACATACTACAAGGACTAACAGGTTGCACAAGATCTTTGTGTAAAACTTTAGTGACAATGCATAAAGCCCAGTACTACTGGGAATGTACCTGATACCTACAAAGTATATGAGGTCTGGGTTTTATTTTAAGTGATTGGTTCCCCAGGATTTATTTATAGCTACCAGTATTTAGTGGTAGGTACATATTTGGCATGTAACAGATACCAAAACATTAAATAATAAATGGACTGTACTTGTATAGTGCCTTTCTATCTGATACTCAAAGCTCTTTACACCACAATCTGTCCTCATTTACCCATTCATACATCACTCTACTGGATCTATGCAAAGAATAATCAGAGCTTTAGATCACATTTATGAACCGATGGGACACACATCAGAGGCTTTGAGGGGTTCAGTGTCTTGCCCAAGGACATTTCACCATGTGACTGCTGGTAGAATCAACCCCCCAACTCTCCCATTAAAGGGTGATTGCTCTAACCACTCAGCCACAGCTGCCCCCATTAGCATGCAAGGTGATATGTGATATACTTTCCTTCTATTAACTCTAGTTTCATTAGTGAAAGCATTTTACATCTATGACCCTTTAAAGGCAGCACACTGGTTTAGAGGTTAGCACTGTTGCCTCACAGCAAGAAGGTCCTGTCTGTGATTTAATACCCCGCGGCCATCAGGTCGGCGGGGTGGTGGAATATTAACTGTATTTAAATCAAACTTGTCCTGTAAACAGTTGTCCACCCTCATGCCCTGCTCCAGTTTTGAGATGAGTGCTTTTGAACTCGGACATTCCCCGCCCGTTCTGTGTGCGATTGTTTATCGCCCCCTTCGTTCCAAGGACTTCATAAGTGAATTCTCTGATTTTCTGGCTTACATCACACCAAGATATGATCACTTTATTATTGTTGGTGACTTTAATATTCACGTATGTTGTCAGGAGAAGCCGTTAGTGAAGGACTTCCTTGATTTGTTGGACTCATTTAATTTAACTCAACATGTAAATGCTCCCACCCAACAACACGGTCACACTCTGGATCTCATTTTAACACGTGATGTCTCTGTTTGTAATTTGGTAATCGGTGACAACGTTCTCTCAGACCACATGCCTGTCTTGTTTGATATCATCCCGCCCTGTCCTACTGCTAAGTCATGTGATTCTGCACGTACTTCACGCGCCATCAACCGTTTCACTGCTGCACGTTTCACTGAAGCTTTTAGCTCTGAGAGGATCGATCAGCTCTCAGTGTCTCTCTCCACCGAGGAGCTAACCTCTCAGCTTAACTCCGTTTGCTTAAATATTCTGGACCGTGTTGCTCCCGTTAAAACCAGGAAAACAAAACTTTTATCAGAACCATGGCTTAATGATGTCACTCAAGCCGTTAGACAGCAGTGTAGGAGAGCAGAACGCAGGTGGAGGAAAGACAGGCTGCAGGTTTCTTTTCAAATCCTAAAGGAGAGTTGGCGTCATTATCAGAAGGCAGTTAAAGCCGCCAAATCGAAGTTCTTTTCTGCAATAATTGCCTCAAACTCCCACAACCCCCGAGCCCTTTTTTCCACCCTGAACTCAGTTCTACACCTCAGTGAACCTTCACCTCTAGAAGCCTCAACTGAGCTGTGTGAAAACTTCCTCCATTTCTTTTCTGATAAAGTTGCAAACACCCGGGCACTCATTTCTCCACCTGCTCATGATCCGTCCATCCCATCTCATTGTGTTGCTGTTCTGGACCACTTCGAGCCCATCTCTCTGTCTTCCCTGGAGCAGGTCATGTGCGGCATGAAGCCATCTGGCTCCCTTTTTGACGTTGTCCCCCCTCGACTCCTTAAGGAGCTTCTTCCTGTTCTGGGCCCTCCTGTTCTTGGCATTGTGAACAGCAGCTTAGCCTCAGATGTGGTGCCAATAACTTTTAAACATGCTGCTGTCCAACCTCTCCTGAAAAAACCTAGCCTTGACCCCTCAGTCATGTCCAACTTCCGGCCTGTCTCCAGAGTCCCATTTGTCGCTAAACTGCTGGAAAAAATAGTGGAGTCCCAGCTGAAATGCTTTCTAGAGGATAATGCCATCTTAGAGCTATTCCAGTCTGGCTTTAAACCTCTCCACAGCACTGAAACTGCTCTACTCAAGGTTTTTAACAACATTCTCCTATTCACAGATGCTGGTGATTCTGTGCTCCTTCTCTTACTGGATCTCACATCTGCCTTTGATACAATTGACCACAAGATCCTCATTGCGAGGTTAGAGCAGTGGGTGGGCATCACTGGGTCAGCCCTCGAATGGTTTAGATCTTACCTCGCTGACAGGTCCTTTTGCGTCTCCATCAAAGAGTTTAGTTCAGCCTCGGCAGCGCTTAAATGGGGGGTACAGCAAGGGTCCATCCTTGGTCCTCTTTTATTTT